CAGAAAATTACTCACGGGTGACGCGAGTTTTGTTGAAATAACTCTCAGGTCCCTCTATTTTCAAAAAGACAGCAGAGGTCCTTACATTTTGTTGTAATGACTGGAAGGGGACATTTCATCCAATATTTCATCTATAAACGTTAATAAATGTATTTTTTTCCTATTCTTTTCTAAATGTTTTAAGGTAATAAATCTTAGGTCGCTCTTTTTTTTATTTCTTTGTTTTTCTTTCATTTTGTTACTATTTTTTTAAAGTGTTATTTTAGAATTTCTTCTATAAAATCTTATAAAAATTCAAAATTGTTTGTATTATATTAAAACAAATGAAATAAAAAAATTTTAAAAAAAGAAAAAAGAAGGTAATGGCAAAATAGGAAAAAAAAAGTATTGGAAAAATAGGAAAAAAATTCATTTATTAACACTTACGGATGATGTATTGGATGAAATGTCCCCTCTCAGTCATTACAACAAAATATAAGGACCTTGGTTGTCTTTTTTGAAAATAGAAGGACCTGAAAGTTATTTCCACAAAACTCGCGTCACCCGCGAGTAATTTTCTGAATATAAAAGCCACATGCAGATGTATGGTGCAACTCTTTACAAATCCATCATTAAAAAAAGTAGCACATACCAGCAGAGACCATCGATTTGGGTCCCGCATGATGAATGGAAAGACTTCAGATGGTTGCATGGTTTCTGAAAGCAAGAAGTGATTAACTGCTTCTGCAAACTGCAAGTCAAACAGCAGAAGGAATCCCACTTGAGCATGGACAAAGGATAGCATATCCTTCGCAATTTCACCTTCATTCCAGAGGTCTTCCATCAAAGATACAGCTTCGCTAAAGTTTTTCTTGCGCAGTAGATCCTTAATTTGATCTTCAGATGATACCTTTTGGAAACATAGGACCTGGCATATAGATTTGTCTTATATTCACTGCAATTCTCTCGAGAATAATCATTTTGGTGTCTTGGCCAAGTTAAATCATCTTTTTGGGTAAATGCTATCATGTAAATCTTAAAGAAATCAATTCTAGCTGTACTCTTAAGTAAATGAATTACCTTGGAGCCTGGTGCCAGAGCAACAAATTCTCCTTTTCCATTGCCTTCATCTGCCAGAATACCCCGAGTACCTACTTCAGACACAAATGGAACTCGCTGCACACACTTTCCAGACTTTCTATGATAAAGTTCTACCTTCCCATTTCTAATCACCAACACATATGGCCCTACCTCTCCTACTGAATCTGGCGCTTCATGAAACACCAAGCTGCCACCAACAGGCTGACCTTCAGCATCCACAATAACGCATACATTATCCATCATTAGCATAACCTTACATTCCTTACACAGTACTTTCATCAGAGGCCGCCCAAACGAATCAGGTAGAGAAAATAACAGCCCTCCCTGACCACTTGAGTACGAATATAAATAATACCCATTTCTAGTGCTAACAAAAATTGAATCATCCACCCATGCTAAGCCCATAGAACCCTCGGGGAGACCCTGAATCTCCTTCAAAATCACTAAAGAACCGCCAAAAACCAACTCAACCACAATTAATTTCTTCCCAACAGCAACCGCAAAGAAGCAGCCCTCTTCTTTCCGTTTCATCTCATTGGATCGGTGCACAACACTGTCTCTAGTAAAGGTTAGACTCCTACTTAGAAGTCTCCGACATAATACAGTTACTCCCTTTATCAGACTGAGTTTCTTGATAGGTTCTAGCAAAAGCAAATCAACCAAGTAAAGAAATCCATCACACAGGGCAATTACTTTGCCAATATCCTCTATCACGTGTATAGAATTTACAGGACTAGCACCCACAGTGACTTGGCGGTCATATGCCAGAGCAGAGTGGGTGCTGGGAGAATTAGGGTTTACAGATACAGAAACTAAAGAGCCTGAAGTCGTGCCGAGGTAGATTACGGATCGGGAATCGGAAAGCGTGAAGATTGCAAGCGATCGAATTTGAGAGGAATTGGAATCTGAAGGGCTGAACTCAGCAAGAAACTTGAGAACAGCTCGGGAGTTGGACTTGGATGATTCCGGGTCGGATTTGGGGCTGGATTTCGGATTCGCCATGGGAGTCCAGCAAGGTTTTCAGCAAGAAGAGTGGAGTGGAGTGGAGGTGGATTGCAGCACATAAGCAGTTGGGACAATTGAGGTTTGAAAATGGTGGAAAGAGGGGATTTCGCTCGACAATCTTTTTACAATTTGGGTCATCAATCCTGCATTGCATCCCATCCTAGTCCAGGGTCATGCCGTTTGGTTGACGACTTTTCATGGGGTTAGGAATCCCCTCTAGTCCTTTTTCCAATTTTTAAAATGACCTGCGACGGACAGGTTCCTTGGTTCTCACCTTTAAATCAATTATTTTAAATTCGGACTGGAGGACGACCTAGCGAGGAGGATAGGTCTCGGGTTTTCCGAGTCGATCCGGTTTTTTCCGAGTTTTTCTAGATTTTTGGAGGATTGGATTGGATTGGTTGTGTGTTCGGGTCGCGGTTCGACCTATTAGACCGCCCGATCCGGTCCAAATTTAATAACACTGCTTTAAATTTTTAGGGGACGCAGACTAGTCTATTATTGTTTAGTTAAATCTTATTCTAGTAGTCCAAGACTACCTCATCTAGGTTACTCCCTATTATTCACTTCTGTTTTCCACCACATTCCATCTTATTAAATAGCTTGTGCCTTTGTGGAATCTATTCTCTTCTATGACACTTCATCAATGAAGATCATTACACTGCCACCATACTTAGTCACGCCTTGGTGACTGGGACCCAATCTCTTCTTTGGAGAGCCCATCATACAGAAAACATATAGCTTCTTATCTGAGTAATTAAAAACTTCTTCCATTTTAATTTTCATCCATCCACATCTTCAAATTCAGTAAATCTATCATCTGCATCTTCATTTTCAATCATCTGTTTGTGTAGGTTTCTTTCTTTAACTGTAAGGTCTTGATTTTGGCTTTCAAATTTTGACCTTAAAGCTTCTGACATTCTGTTTTGATTTTTTGGTTGGAATGAAGAATATTAGCAAGTTTAATTTTGAATTTTTTTGATATTTGCCCTTTTAAAAGATTGTTGAAGCACGTACATTAGTTTGATAAGCCTCAATCCATAGAAACAACTAAAAAGAACAAAAGATACATGGTAATATTTTTGATTTAATCATACTTCTAGTATTATATACTTTATTGGAAACTAGTTGAATCATATAATTATAATTTTCCAACAAATTAAAGAGTATATCGATAATAAAAAACTAATTGCATGTAGAACACAAAACTGGACTATTGGCAATGCGTAACTCATTTTTATAGCTGATGTTAATAGGTTTGCACATGGTCTTGTAGTTATTTTTTATACCTCGTATCTTATATTTATAGGTTTGCGCATATATGTGTTGCATTTGAAGTAATTGATTGCTCATGCCTATAGTTCATGTTATGCATAAATACATGTAGGGGGCTGCATTGGAGTATTTTTTTAACTTGTATTTTTGTTACTCCGTATCTTTTAAGGCCCTTTCAAATAGCAATTCTCCCAGTTTTGGTTCAATTATGTGCTTAAGAAGTTGGTTGCGGTTATCAGTTCACCAATTAGAAGTTAGGGTTGGTTAAACCAGTTAGGAGAAATTACCATTTTTTATCTTCTGCACTATTGATTACCTTGTGGCAGTACTCTCAAATTTCACCAATTGGAAGTTAGTGTTGGTTAAACTAGTTGGGAGAATTTACTATTTTTATTTTATGCACTATTGAGAATCTTGTGGCAGTACGCCAGTACTCTCAAATTTCACCAATTAGAAGTGAGTGTTGGTTAAATCAGTTGGGAGAATTTATCATTTTTTATCTTTTGCACTATTGATCATTTTGTGGCAGTACTACTTTTTTGCCTTGTATTGTGGTTATAAGTAGCAGTATCTATTTTTAGTTTTTGTTGTTGCAAACAATAAAGAATGATGCTTTACATTCAATGTGTATTTGTTACTTTGTGTAATTTGTATCACTTATATGTTTCTATCTTTGATCTAAATTATATGTATATTATATTTCTCTATATTAGATTCAGACTCGTTGACCCGTAGTATCGATCTGTTTCAAATAATCCAGGTTAGGGCTGATTCCAATTTCAAAATTTAAAGGTCGTGGCTCGGTCGGTATCGAAACAAATAAGTAAGGCCAAGTTTGATAAAAATCTTAGCCCGAACTGTCATGTGCCCATCCCTAGATATCTCTATCTCGTGACTATATAACATTTCCCTTGTATCATTAGGTTTCCTATTAAGACACGATACATAGGTACTATCGGTTGAGTAGTTGTGAGTCCTAAAAGTCAACGTTCATTCTTTTTTACTCTTGTTTTTTGAACATCTCTTTTTAAAGCACATTAGAAATATTTTGAAAAATATTCTAGTGTAAATGCAAGTGTGATTAGATTATATAAAATTATACCCTTAATAATTTGTCTACCTAAGCTCCTCTAGAAGCCTTTCTGGTAAGGCGAAACAATTTTAGTGAGGTTTGAGCATTTGGTTGTTCTTGTAAAAATGTTAGTGATATGGAAGTCTTATTTGGCACATCAAAACTATGTGATGAGGCATTCATGACCACCATTTGAGGATTTTGATATGGAAGTCTTATTTGGCACATCAAGTCTTATTTGCATTCCAACAATATACTCATTTAGAGTTCATCAATTGTTGTGGATTATTTTATTTACTTTGTGGAAGGGTGTAAACTCTTTGTGTTGAGATTACACCAAATGGTTTGTGTAGAATTCCCTTCAATTTGTGAATTCGAACGTTAGGCAGAAGAAATATCATAACTTGTGAAATCAAGTCATTGGAGGAAAGATAAGAGACTTATGCAATCAAGTTTTCGAGTTGTAAGGTTTGCTAGATGTTGTTAAGTTTAGTGGGATAGCTAATGAAGGCTCAACTATGATTTTTATATTAGGGGCTAGATGTGAGAATTAGGCTGAACCAATATAGATCATAGTGTTTCTTTATTCCTTTCTATCATTTTCTTTGTTTGATGCCTACTTGATTTGGTGATTGCTACTGCAAAAGCATCTGAAAGATCAATTCCCTGAAAATTGGCTAAAGGGAAACACATCTATTCACCTCTTGTAACACTCCAACATGCGTAACCTAAATAAACAGATTAGTGAACCAGGTTGCTACAACAACTCATTTCCAAACAACTTCTAAAACATTTAATCCAAAACTAGAACATCCATCAGAGTATCGGAAAAACATTGTGGAAGCTTTTAATAAAATCTCAACAACTTAGGAATTCGACACATAAAAATAATAAAAGCTTAAACGATAATTAAATAAACAAGCCTTCTGCTTTAACTACTCACATTTCTTTGCCTTCAACGTCCTTCGGGATTGGCTCCAGGTTCACCCTAATCCTGATTACCTACGTGCAGCAAAAGAACAAATGCTACACGCTCAACATTGAAGCTAAGTGAGAAATATCTAACATTCAGTAAGACATCTAAACGACCTAACTAGTTCATATAATATCACACGAATATCATGCATACAAGTTAATCATGAATTTCAACATAACAATACAATTCATACGCATTAGGAAATAATACACATTATCCCTTTGTTACTTTTAGTCATCTAACTTACACACATGGCTCATAACCTATTCTAGGTATAAGCTCATACTAACTCTGAATTGCTTATTAGAGTTATGATCTTCCCCTTGAGAATGAAGACAAACTCAACTTACTCGAGAGTTCCTCATTGGATGGTGAGATCCATGTCCCCTTCAGAATGACAATTCATAGATGTTCGTGCGCACGTTTGTACCCAAATAACCATTAGACCAGCAAGTGTCATATGGCTCTAACATTTCTATACTTATGTCATATCTTACATCTATTCCATCCAAATCAAGTCCTAGAGTTTCTCTAGGTTCATATGTTACTTTAATGTTACATTACATTCACAAGTGCATATCTCATAAAATAGTTATAATCATATCCAACATAACCAAACACGATCAAACAATGACTTAACATTGTGTATGAATACCCATCCTTATTGTCTTGCAACATATAAGTTCTCAGAATAAATCCTTGACACGAAAATAGAGTTACGGGAAAACTCTGGGTACCAGGCAGTACCTTGTCTGGTACTAGGGTACCGACACGGTATCTGGGTACCATCCAGGTAGTAATGCCAATTTTATACAATTCACCAATATGTTCCTAATTAATTTAGTTCCCAAATAATATTTAACCATACCATGATTATAACAATAACAATTCACGTGTTTTAACCCACAACTATCAATAATCCAAACAAATTATAACACATAGGGTCTCACATAAATCAGTCCTAATGATTCTACAAACTTAAGATTCAAAACTTTATATATAACCTAAGGTTAGATGTCCACATGTTCACCTCCAATTTGATGAGGAAACTACGGAGAACGAATTGACCTACGAGCGGTGATGATGGCGCGGTAACATTAGGTTTCTCTTCTTATTCCTCCTCCTTCTTCTTCTTTTTTTCTTCTTCTTGTTCTTCTTGTTCCTCTTGTTCTTCTTCTTATTCTTTTGGTTCTTCCTCATTGCTCTATTTCCAGTCGCGATAAGGAGACAGGAGAGAGAAGAGAGAGTGTGTGTATTATGTAATATGGCAGATATAGGGAGGGTTTATATGTGTAGGCCTATATTTATAGTTATGGGGTTCATGGCTCTGTAATTAAATAACGTACCTCGATATGAAAATATCCTTTTCACGCCAATTTGCTCTGAATTCAAATCCATTTTCACTATTGGATTTGTTTCTTCGAACCCTACACAACGATATAAACTTTTATATTTTATTAACGAATATTTAGAATAAACACCGGGTTCGTCTCAATAAGTAATTAATTAGTCCTAATTAATTATTTCTGATAGGCCAAGTTTCGAGGCGTTACACCCCCCTCTAGAGGTGTGTGTTTATTCTAACGAGCTTAACGTGGGTGGCTTCTCCAAATCTAGCTAACATAAATCCCATGTTTGCCTATATTTCACCCACAACTTTTATCAACCCCGACCCAATTTTGTGATAGTGATGAGATTTAATTTTCTTGAACGTGATGGTGAGACTTGGTAGTTTCATTTTGTATTTTGATTTTGTTGAAGAATAAGGGATGAATTAGTAGTTATATAGTAGAACATGGAAAGAAAACAATGAGACTAAAAGAAGAATAAAGATAAAAGTGAAAGTCAACACTATTTTATACTACATACTTTACATTAAAACTCATGCCAAACATAATATTAAAAATATTCATGTGAGGTTTTTACTAGAAATGTTGCATATCTTGTAACACCCTATTCCGTTCAGGTCTGCAGTCCCTTTTATACCAACGTATTAACTTGGTAATCTTAAAATTTAAAACTTTTCAAACACTTTTATTTATCACAATAATTTTTTTCAAAACATATATAATACAGATAATCAAATCATTTAATATCTTGCACACAATATTCAATTCAGATAATCAAAATTTTGATATTGTTCACTTCATATCAACGTATTTTATTCAATTCAGTTATTATTTGGATAGTGCTCTTAATCTAAGGCCAAATAACAACAATACTCTTAGCTATTCTTAGTCTAAAGCCAGATCAAAACAACGCTATTAGCTATTCTTAATCTAAGGCCAAATCATAATTTTTTTCATAACCAGACTCTTAAACTATGGCTAATTTAAGGCCATTAACCAGACTCTTAAAAAGGCCATTAACAATATAGCGACTAATCAATGTCGGATCAGGGTATTCCCTAACAAGTGATCTTCTAGTTTGGTCTATAAATCCCTTTTATACATTCTTATCCCACTCACCTAATATTCATATTTTCATAAACCCATTCAAATATGAGATCTATTCTAGAGGTCTTCTAGATAGCCTTAACATCAATTATCTAAATGGATATATCTTAGAATTCTTCTAGATACCCTTAATAATACAAATCATTTCATAATTATCAATGTATTCACTTTACTCATGGTTCAATCATTATTACTCATTTTAATCAGTATGTTTATCATTCATAATTATCATAATAATCATTCATTATAATCACCAATCAACATAACATTCGATAGCAATTAGCAGCCTAGTTTCGAGTGTTAACACCTTAGCTTACTGTCATGCATCATGTAAGATCCTTTTTGTTGTCAAAATATCATTTTTTCCCAAGAAATCATCTTTATAATAATCATAATTGATTTCTATCAAAATAAGATTTTTGAGCTCACAAATAGCATTTTCAAAAATATTTTCGGAGTAAAATTTTAGGGGGTCGATCTAGAGTGCTGCATCGATCCAAGCTAGAGAAGAATATCCCTAGGTGATCGATCCAGTAGGGTAGATTGAACTATATAGAAATGTTCTCTAAGGTTCATAGATCATTTTGGTATTATTAATTCATAGTTTTAAGAACAATTTCATGGTTTATGATTCTTGGTTTTTTAAGCATGTTAAACACAAAACTCAATCAAATGACCATTTATGAATGTAGAAACGATCTATACGAACATTCTAGTCACTAGATATATCTACGAGCTTACGTCGAACTTAAATGGAGGTTTTAGAAATTTTCCGGTGAAACTTTCGGTGAGGTTTGTGGCTAGCTCCAATGACCTCTGACCAAATTGACAGCACCACTACACTCCTTTCTCAACCAAAAACAAAAAAGAAGAAGAAATTAAAGGATTTGGTGAAGAAATGTAAAAGTTGCATTCTCCTTATATAGAGAAATGAAGAGGAAGAAGACAGGTTGAATGTGTTTTCTGTGATCCTGAGATCGGCTAGTGTGTTGGGAAGTACCATTTGCACAGTGTCCCTGGGACCAATTTTGGTTCTAGTCGGGGTACACTTTTTTGTCTAACTTTCCGCGAACTGAATTTTGTTTGCACCATTTCGATCAGACAGTCAAACTCTATTCAACGATATAATTTTCATAAGTATTTGTAATATTTTTTTTGACAACATATTTTAGGTCGTTTGACTTTGATAGAGTCAAAATTGGTTTAATTGACCTTTACTCATACTGGTTCTTACATTTAATTTATTTTCATGATTTATTTCAATAATTCATTTCAAACTTTGCATTAGAGACAAATTCTTCATTTATTCTTAATTTGGGTCTGTACTCAAGTTCTCAATCAAGATCACACAATAAATCAATATATTGGATTTATCTCTATGAGAATTATCCAAATTGTGACATTGGATATCAAAACACATTTTATTTCAGACCAAAGCCCAACAATAATTTATTTTAATCAAAATAAATTTAATTAATTAAATAATTGTTCATTAATAATTTTAGGGTATGTTTTGGGGCGTTACATATTTTACCTCCTTATGTGGTGATTTGTAGAAAAAGTTATTTGTCACATTAAATGTTTCTTCTAACTATTCGAACCACCGTAGAATTAGTTTGTCACATGCATTTGAGACGATTTGAACGAGCGTGCGCGACCACAAATAACCCCTTCAGACTATAATTATTTCACTAGTGAAAGACTAAATGAAATGTATATTTTTAAGAATACATGGGGAAAAATATTGCAAAAATGTCACTAGATGTGTAACACCCTGACCCGCGTAATTTGAATAAACGATTTAGAGAACATGGTTAGTACTAAATTGGTATTTTCATACACAGTCAATTTAAAACTTTTAAAATGATACAAACATTCATTCATATTAATTTTGAAATATCCATAACTCAATCACAATAAAATAAATCCAAACATTCACGGAATCCTTAAATCTAACATCATAAACAACTTAAATACTTAAGGAATAAATAAACGAAAAATTTTAAATAATAAAACAAAGAGCTTCATCCATCCACCCGCTGATCATCTAATTCTTGATTCCTACTTACGCGCAGTCAAAGACAATAAAGACTACATGCTCAGCTAAAAGGTGAGTGACAATATAGCTAATTCTAAAACTAATTTATAGACTAGCATACATCAACATATGATCACACAATATCTATTGAATTAACAAATATCATAATTCAACCTCATGATTAATTGTTCATTCATTTTGTTTGGATCTTACATACTTTTTACTACACTTAACCTACTTGGCTAAGTTTCATCTCTAACTTATGAGAGTCGTAGGATCCAACCTTTGACCGGGAACCATGCTCAAACTCAAAAGATCTCTCAATGGAGGGGATTGAGGCCTCACAAGCTCTCACCAGCGGGTCATCGACCTCCGTACACACGTTTTAACCCTCAAGACCATCAGGTGTGCGACGACACCCGCATGACCTTAATTTTTTAACTTAATCCTATTGGTGATTTTCAATATTCAATTCAAATTATATTCGCCTAAATTTATTAGGTAACCTATTTTATCATTAGAATTTAGGGGTGGGCACGGGCTGATCCGATCTAATTTTCCTCAAGCCCGACCCGACTTGCTTATATAGAGAGGCTGGATCAGAATGGGTTGGCAAAAATTTAAAATTGGGACCAACCTTGACCCAATTTGTTTGAAATCGATCAGTTCCACAAGTCAATGGGTCCCAACTTAATTTGACCAAATACCTTATAGTCTTATACTCTAAAATACATTGTTTGATTTAAACTTTCAATGAGAATAAGTACTGATAGGACTAGAAAGTCTATGCACAATTATTATTAATTATTACACATGCAAACATTTTTAATTATTAAGCACAATTATACATGGAAACGTTCCAAAGATGAATAATGGTCGTGGATCAAGATTTTAATGAATGACCAAATTTCCCATGCTTTTAAGAATAGTATTGATATTGATATTCATGTTGATATTGATTAAAGAGTTGACGTAATTTTGTAGCATGTAATTGATACAATTTGGTAATAATTGGTTTTATTGAATAATGAAGGATACATCCCTATATATAAGGATTAAAATAGAGAATTCTAATCTAAGTAGGAGAAGATTTATAGTAACAATACAATAAGGAAGTAATGTAATAAAAAGGTAATAAATCATAATATTCTATTTCCTAATACATTTATCCTTCATAATATCTCTCCGCATGTTGATCATCGGTAATGAGGAGAAGCTTGGAGCATAGGTACTGGAACTAAGTCAGCATAAGCAGTTCTATGAGGATAGCCTTAAGAAATAGAGAGTCAGATCGTTGCATAATAAAAGAGCTTGAGATTACATTTGCTGAGTTTTTCTGACGAGAGTGTTGGTGATTATAGCAAGGGCGAGGAGTTTTTTCTCATTTTGGCCCGTTCCCTTATTCTCAAACGCTTTCCATGCTCTCGATCTTTAAAAAACATAGACAAATGGAACTTTCTTGTTTTTTCGATCACGTACATAATTTTTTGGAAGAGAGAGAGCGAGAGAATGTATACTTTAGAGAGAAAGAAAGGAATAATGGACAGTGATGTTTAGGCACGCTCGTCGAGATCGGTCAATGATGCTATGCTGTCGGACGATTGACCGCCATGAACAGAAACTGACGATGTGCTCATCCAGAAAAGGAAAGACTAGGTCTTTTAGAACCTTAGCTCCGATACCATGATAAAATTGGATAAAGTTGATCTTACTGAATAATGAATGATACATCCATATATATTGAGATTACAAGAGAAAAGTTTATTCTGAATAGGAAAAGAATAGTAGTAACAATACAATAAAGAAGTAGTGTAATAAGGAAAATATTATAATATTATATTTCTTAATACATCTATTATTCCTAATAGTATGCAACTAGGTATACATGAAATCAAACCCTAATAACATTTGAAGGTGTTTCTAATTCTAACAAGCTAGGTAGAATTTATCGGAAAATTCTATTTCATCCATCGGAAAATTTATTCTTATTTGATTTTAATTGGTCAACATTTATGAACTTTGTCTCTAATATGTGAATAGATATATTATTTTATGATATAAATTTAACATTAATAGATTTATTTTAAAAACTTAATTTTGGAATATCATACTTTTATATAACTATTGATCGATATTAATTTTAGAGTATTAATTAAACTAAAAACCACTAAGAGTAAAATGAGAAAAAATATTTCAGACAGAGAATACAAAATTTCATTTAAGCCCCTTAATGCAACTAGCTAGGTACAATGAGTTGGAGAGAGGCATCGAAGAAAATAACCCCCATAAGAGGAGCAAGTTGCTAAGGTAGGCTTATTGTTTTGAGTTGTAATGTCCAAGCGCACGAGCTCCACGTCCTCACACGGCTTGTCTTTGCTGCAATCGATTTTTACAGAGACTTCTTCGCCTGTGGTGCCAACAATGTTTATGAACTTTACCCTTGAAATTCCAACTTGAGATTCTCCCTGTTAATAGATTCATCAATGAAGTCATTTCAGATTGAATACGTACGTACACATGACCCATGCATATATATATGTGACCCAACAAACTTTTGAAGCCTTTATTTTTAAAACATTTAAGCATAAATTAGTATGTGTATTTTGTATATAATAGATCATATATTTTGGTATATATGATGTGAAATGTACGTTAATAATTAATCAATAAATGTAATTAAGTGATTTGTATTGATTTTTTTTTTGGGTGTACGTATGAAAAGAAAAATATGAAATATTTTGTGAGATGGGGAGAGTAATTAAGTTACAAGGACACACATACTTATATAATATTTCTTTTACAGTTTTGATTAGGTTTTGAGATTAAAACTAAATTTATATAGAGATATACGATTTATAAGTACATGAAAATGCTAAACCTTTGAAAACCGATGTATAAAAAAGGTATACAATAAAATGATGTAAGAAAAAAATACTCCATCCATCCTCAATGAACTTGGACAATTTCACTTCATATAGTTTAAGGGAAGTGTTAAAAAGTGTAAACAATGTGATTAGAATTTTTTTAAGAACAAAGAAATTTTTTGAGTCAACACTCTTTTTCTTTAAAGAAAAGTGCAGTTTATTTTTCAAAAGAACGAAAAAGAAAAATGAAGATGTTTACATAACAGAGGAAATGATGATTTAATTAGATTTATTTTGCAAAAAATATATATATTTTGTAGTTCTCCCTTTGTCCCACAATTTCTGCCTTTTTTTTTACCTTTTTAGTCTATCCTACTATTTTTTCTCATACCAGACTTGGTCATAATTTTGCCAGTCAAATTTACTTTTTGTTAATCTCAAAATCTTTTCTTTAATTTTTAACATTAGTATCAACCACACAATCTTATACTCCCTCCGACCCATGAAACATGGGACTTTTGCTTTTTAGGAGAGATTTAAGGGGAGTGTATTTTGGTATTGAATTTCCAAAAATGTCCTTTGATGTGATGAGTAAAAGTATGATTTGATGGATAGATTATTAGTAAAAAGGTATGATGTGATAGTTAGAGTATGAAAAAGTAAGGGGTAAAAGTGACTTTTTAATAAAAATGAGAAGTGTTTTGTGGAACGGATAAAAAAAGAAAGGTGAAAGGTTTCATGGGACGGAGGGAGTATTTTTTTAATATTCATTTCAATCTCTCATGAGCCAAAAATAGTGTAACTCAGGGAGCAATACGCAATGTAAATGTAAGGCAATTGATTAAGAAACTTCATCTATCTAATTGAACTCAAAAAAGTCAAACAATAACCGAACAAATTAATATTCTATGATGGATGGAGTAACGAATGTGTAAATAGAAGAGAATGCATATATGTACGTACCTTATGTTGACACTCATTATTAGGGCAATAATGTTGGTCCACAACAATAGGATTGCTGACTCGATTCAAAATAATATCTCGAAAGGTGACATTAAATAGTTTGCTTGGAGGAGAAGGCGCCCAAGTCTTTATCCTAACCCCATTAGTGGTGTCTGTGAGAGTTGAGTTCCTAACTAGTATACCCCTCACATCCTCTTCCTCCTCGTACTTGCCAAGGCTCCCAATGCTAATGCCATGGCCAGGACCACACCTTGTTGGGAGAGAAGCAACAAGTAGGATGCACCTACAAGGATCAACTTCAAGACAACCAACCAAACACTTGACCCAATTTACCACAATTGATTAACCAAGCACACAAAATCAGCAGCACATCAAATAAACCACAATCAAATATGAAGAATAAAGATGCAAACGACACACGATTTTTATACGTGGAAAACCCCTTCGATGTGAAGGATAAAAACCACGGGACTTATAGGGAGTCCGCCCTCTTCTTCTCTTATTATGCAAATTGAGGGTAAAAACACCCAAACTCAGTCTACAAGGATGTCACAG